GATAGTGCTGAGGACGAGAAACTCTGGGCTATGGAAGAAGCAATGGCGGAAGAGAGAGAGAAAAGGGACCACCCGCAGAGGGCTTTGGCATTGACTGATGCACAAGTTCTCAAAAAGAAAGCAAAAGTCAAGAGTTCCCACTTTCACTACCGAGAATGAGGTTCTGGATGAGCTTGGCCTCATCTTCTCTCTTATATTCCAGCATTCCAAGGTACTCCTTGGGTCCTGATGACAAGTGCACATCATTGGCTGCAGACAGAGGCAAATGGTGAGTGAAATACGCAAAAACAACTCTCACAGTTTTCCTGAGACTACTCAGCCTCCTTCTGTCCCCATTCTGGCTGGTTTGCAAACGGACTTCTGTGGCTTTCAGGTACATTAAAACTTTCTTGTATCCTGATGAATTGCCCCTAGTGATTTCTATCTGTGAGCATATCAGTGTGTACCGCTGTGGAAAAGGCTAAGTTATCCTTGAGAAAAGCCTTATGAGCACCTGATACGGATCCAGCACAGTGGGAATGGGAAAAGAACATAGAATGTTGCCCAGCCTCCAAGGTTCTGATGCTACAGTGAAAAAAGGAAGACTCAGAAAATGTTTTGGTGTACAAAGTACCAGTCTGCACAGTCCTGACTAAGAGGGCTTTATTAGTTTCCTAGGACTATAACAAGTTGTCACAAAAGTGGCAATTTTCAGGGGCTTTAAACAATGCATGTTTTTAATGTTACAGTTCTAAAGTTAGAAGTCTAGAAGCCAAGCCAGCATGGAGAATAGTGACTCATTCATTCATTCCAATAGCGGGGACACCGTAGGAGCAGGAAGGACAGATCAGGTCCCTCCTCTCATGAGGCAGACTGCCATTTGTCATTTATTATTGAAGGGGGAAAATCTTTGATTTGGTTTTGGACATTTCACAATTGAGGTGAATGTTGGATGAATGAGAATAAAGAAGCTCTTTGAAGACACAAATATAGAAAAAGGAGCAGACAGCTGAAGATACACAGCCTTAGCAATAAGGGCGGGGAGGAAGAAGAAAGAGTAATAAAGAACAAAAGAGTGAGAAATGTAAGGACAGAGCATGAGACAGGCACAGTGCAGGGACTCAGAGGAGGAGGAAAGAGAAGCTGAGGGTCCTTTTCCCGAGAGTTCATGGAAACGCTTTTAAGTGTGCAGTGCAGTCCATGCTGGGATATATGGCTTCTTAGTTCTCTACTTCCCTCTTCTAATACAAATTGGGATTCTTGCTGATCTCATGTATGTAACAGGGAGACAAGGTGACTTTCAAAGCAGTTAATTCCCAAACTTGTTTACGGTTTCCTTTTTTTTTTTTTTTTTTTGAGACAGAGTCTCACTTTGTCATCCTTGGTAGAGTACCATGACATCATAGCTCAGAGCAACCTCAAACTCTTGGGCTTAAGCAATTCTCCTGCTTCAGCCTCCCAAGTAGCTGGGACTACAAGGCACCCACCACAATGCCTGGCTATTTTTAGAGACGGGGTCTCACTCTGGCTCAGGTTGGTCTCAAACTTTGTGAGCTCAGGCAATTCACCCACCTCAGCCTCCCAAGTGCTGGGATTACAGGCGTGAGCACCTGGCTATGGTTTCGTTTTTTAATGGAATGAGAGTTGTAGGATATCCCTTGCAAATGCATGAGTATATCTGGTACCATCTGAGGGGCAGTGAGTACCAGTGAGGGGCTCCTGCCTCAATGGATTTGTTCATTAGCTCATCACTATGTACTAAATCTACAGTTAGGAATTATTCCTTTGGACCAGATAAACACTTGAGTGCATGCTGACCTTAGCACAAAGCTCCAAAGAAAGTGAGTATCATTTTTCCTACCTTTTTCAATTGTCCTGGTTAAAGTCCTGACTTGATCTTGTAGCTTTTTAATTACTCTATCCTTCATGTCTAACTCTTCTTCAAGATCCTTCAGAAATAAAAAATGAGAATATTACCTTAGAAGCATTATCTCTTAACCCATTTCTTGGTAACAGCTTTATTGAGTTATAGAATTCACAAGCCATACAATTCACCCACGTAAAGAGTATAACTCAATGGTTTTTCGGTGTAGTCCTGGTTGTGCTATCATCACCACTATCTAATTCTGGAACATTTTCATTATCCCCCAAAGAATACTATAACCTTCACCCATCACTCTCGAGTCCCCTCTTCCTTCCCAGCCCCTGGCAACTGCTCATCTACTTTTTATCTCCAAGGATTTGCCGATTCCGGACATTTCATATAAATGAAATCATATGACAGGTGGCCTTTTGTGCCCAGCTTCTTCCAATTAGTATCATATTTTTAAGATTCTTCCATGTGAGAGCAGGCATGAGAACTTCAGTCCTTTTGATGGCCGGATCATCCTATCATGTGGATATATTACATCTATCTTTCCCTTTACTATAAAGTAATGCCAATTATAGAATTTAAAATTATGAGGGTCGGAAACAGTCTTTCTGGATGTCAGAAGTTGAAGCCAGGGACAGTCTTCTGAGACCCGGGCCTGGTTTTGCCTCTCCTCCCTGACAGGGAAGTGGCCTTGCCACTCAAACTGAATTTGGCTCAACACCCAGGAGAGTCCCGGATCACCCAGAAGTATTTCCTATAAAGTGTGTAGAGTGTTTCAGTTCTTCCTGAATTCTGAGGTTTTGACACAGAAGGGATTCAGGCTTCTGTGACCCAGCAAGACTCATGATACAGATGTGCTGCAGCTGTGTGCCCCTGGGGACGCTCAGGGACATGGGACACTGTGCTGTTTCTATGCTGTGTGGCCCTCTCTCCCTGCTACCACTCTGTGTCCCTGGACACAGAAGAACCTTATTAATCTTACAAATGGAGGTGTGGACAAGGCTTCTTCTAGTTTAAGCCCATCCTATAATACATTATTTAAAAGAATAATCGGCTCGGTGCCTGTGGCTCAAGTGGCTAAGGTGCCAGCCACATACACTTAAGGTGGCAGGTTTGAATCCAGCCTGGGCCCGCCAAACAATGATGGCTGCAACCGAAAAAAAATAGCCAAGTGTTGTGGCAGGCGCCTGTGGTCCCAGCAACTTGGGAGGCGGAGGCAGGAGACTCGTTTGAGCCCAGGAGTTGGAGGTTGCTGTGAGCTATGCCACGGCACAATACCCAGGAGGACAGCTTGAGGTTTTGCATCAAAAAAAAGAATAACCATGGGTGGTGCCTGTGGCTCAGTGAGTAGGGCACTGGCCCCATATACTGAGGGTGGCAGGTTCGAACCCAGCCTTGGCCAAATTGCAATTAAAAAAATAGCCAAGTGTTATGGTGGGCACCTATAGTCCCAGCTACTCAGGAGGCTGAGGCAAGAGAATCACTTAAGCCCAAGAGAGTATGACACCATGGCATTCTACCAAGGATGATATAGTGAGACTCTGTCTCCAAAAAAAAAAAGAATAACCTATCAATCCATAACCTGGAAGAAACCACTGTTCTCATTTTGATTTATTTCATTCCTTTCCTTTTTTCTAATAGGGCACATGTACATTTTATAAAATTGGGGTCACACTGCATCCAAAGTTGTAAATCTTGTATTGTTTTCTAATTACATTGGAGATAGCCTTCTATGTGGTTGACAATATACTCAAACCATCATTTCAATGGTTAAGTCATACAGCATACAACAATTTCACCTGCCCACTACTGTTAGACATCTACTTGTTTTCTCTGGGTTTTATTTTCCCCTTATAATAAGCACTATGGACAAAATTCTTGGTTCACATATCTGAGTATTGATTTAGGACAGAACCTTACAAGTTGTATTACTGACTCTAAGGGAATGACTTTCCACAAGTTCATGTTATTTGGCTCCAAATCACCCCTCAGAATAGTTCACACCAATTTATATTTTCAGCAGCCACGTATGACAATGCCTGTTTCCCAATGCCTCTCCGGCACCATAAGATCTATTAATTTGACAGGCAAAAATAATATCTCACTTTAATTTTGAATTTATTTGGTAAATAGTGAGATGATTGCTAAGAGGTTTTTTTTTTTTTTTAATTTATTATTATTATTTTTGGGACAGAGTCTCATTCTGTTGCCCGGGCTAGAGGGCCATGACATCATAGCTCACAGCAACCTCCAACTCCTGGGTTCAAGTGATCCTCCTGCCTCAGTTTTCTGAGTAGCCGGGACTATAGGTACCCACCATAACACCTGGGTAACTTTTTCTATTTTTAGTTGAGACGAGGTCTCATTCTTGCTCAGGTTTGTCTCAAACTCACTCCTAAGCTCAAATGATCTCCCACCTCGGCCTTCCAGAGTGCTACGATTACAGGCGTGAGCCACCGTGCCCAGCCTTTATTTCTTTTTTTAATAAGAATCTTCTTTGGCTCAAAGGATCATACAGCGGGATGAAGAGTGTCCCCCAAAGTTCATGTCCAATGAGAACCCCCAAATGTGGCCTTATATGGAAATAGGGTCTTTGTAGTTGTAATTAAGGTAAGGATGGATATGAAATCATACTAGGTTAGGGAGGGCCCTAAATCCAGTGAGTGTCCTTGAAATAGAAATGAACACACAGAGGGAAGGTCACACGAAGAGAGGCAGAGCCTGGATTTACACTGCCACAAGCCAAGGAATGCCAGGGGCATTCCTGAAGCTGGAAGAGTTAAGCAAGGATTTTCCTCTCAGTATTGTGGAGGAGCCAGGTCCTCGGGCTAACATCTTGATTTCAGACTTCTGGCCTCCATAACTGCGAGAGAATACATTTCTATGGCTTTCAGGGACCTAGTTTGTGGTGATTTGATACCGCAGCCTGACTCTTTTATTGTCTATTCTGTTTGTTTGTAGCACTGAGGCCACTCATTGATTCAGGAAAAGTGTGTTGAAATGAACACATGGATGTGCCCAATCCCTGGCTCAGTGCACCTTCCTGGGGGCAGAGTCAGACAGGTAAGGAGCCACAGAAAAGGGCGCTGAAGGGGCCCCCACTGTGTGCCCTGGGGGGCGCCAGGGCAAACTCACACAAATCCCTCACAATGCATGTGGTTGACTGCTCACAGCTAGAGAGTGCAGGGTCACCCATGGCTCACCCACATAGCTTCCCCTCCACTGCTGGCCCCCCTGGGATCCCAGGAGCGTGCAAGTGTAAGTCGAGTGCACGGCAGCTGCACACGCACTGACAGCAGGGGGTTGCTTATTCCGTGAGACTGGAGCATTCTAGTCTCTGAGAAAGCTGTATCCACTGCAAAGAAGCTGGCTGTTACCTAGATGCCACTGATTAGAATTTGTTATATCCTGGTAAATGCTAAACTCCCAGGATTTCTCTTTTTGGATATAATTATTCTTCAAACTTACCTGATTATGATTTTCCTGTGAGATAGAAAATGGGGGGCTCTGACCGTGGGGAGAAGGGCATATGGGCACATCCATGCCGACTGCTGCCCAGGTTACTGTCTGCCAGGCTTGGAAGGGCCTGAGGGGTCCGACTCCCAGGGGAGCGCCCTGTCGCTTTAGTGCCTCTCAGTCCTGTGAGTTCCACACATCAGCACAATTTCAGAATCATCACTGGGGGTTAATGTGGGGTTGTCGAATTTCATTTTGGCAAGGGTGCTTAAAATTTGGAGAAGACTTTAAAAACATTTAAAAGTCTTCTGTCTACTATGATGATCATTTTGTGAAAGAACATTTTGATCCCAAAAATTGTAGAAGGTCGGACCCCTAGAATGAAGCATTGGCCTCTATGCAGATAAGTTTTGCTTGGCAAAGTGCTCACGGGTCGGCCTTGTTATCCTCTGTCCTCTATCTAGATCAGGGTGGCTTCATCCCAGATGGTGCTGCCCACAGACATGCTTAGGAATTCCAGCCTGCACCTCCCCTTCCCAGCGGCCCCTGAGTCTCAGGGCTCCCTGCATGGGCTGTGAGCTGAGAGACCACCTGTCTTTGAGATGAGAAAGCAGACAGCTCTGATGGAAGGACTTTGGGTCTACGGCTATTGATCCTATGCGTTAGGTGGATGTGCCCCGTTCAGCCCGATCTGCACACAGACAGCCATTTCTCAGCACTTAGAAAACTTCTTACCCTGTTTTCCAAAGTGAGACGAGATGCTTCTTGCTGGAAGTCACTCTTGACTTCATTTTCAGTTTCAACTTGTTTCTTCAGGTGCTCACTGGCCTCCTGTATTTCTTGAATCTTATCCATCAGCTTCTCTTTCTCTTTGGTATGTATTTCACTTTGGGCTTCTATGGCCCTAGAGAGATACAGGAATTTCTGGTATCAGTTTCACCATCGTGGAGAAGTCACTCATTGCCATAGCGAGTGCTGATATTTCCAAAGTTGGAAAAACACCTTGGCCAATGTATGTGTAAAGCAAATAGGGGATCCTTAGATGTGGAGGAAAGGGACTAGGACTGGCTGGGATGTAGAACTGTCCCTGTACAGCTCTAGCCTCCCTTACCCAATAAGAGTCCAGCCCTGCCCCACCCCACCCTCCTTCACCGCTCCCATGAGACACCCACACCCACCCACACTCTAGAACCAATAGCTCAGACATTATCTCCTTTGCAACCAGCCTGGGGACCAAACGGCCAAAGGTCGGAGAGAAAACAAAGAACCTATCCAAAGGGTTCCAAAGTGGCATCTCCCCAGTTCCCACTACTTTGGGTTCTCACTCAGTCCTGATCCTACTGATAGAACCACGTGACTGAAAATGTTCTCAGGGATGTGGGTATCCATTTATTGTTCTGGAAAGTGAAGTGTCTCAACAAGTTTGCAGCAAAACAGAACATTTCCCCTATAAGCTTCTACTACGTCCTAGGGCACCAGGCCTTTTGTTGGTCAGGAAGGAAATTTGGGAGGATTAGCAATGAAGATTTTCTACCAACACAGATTCTAATTCTTACTGCAGTCTGCTAGAAACCCTGCTGTCTCTCACAATCTAGTTTTATCCATAAATGAACAGATAACTCATGCATGTGGTATAACATTTCTAGAGTACAGAAGTTACACGCACCTCCCCTTCCCTGCTCTGTGCATCGTTACCGAGTTACTCTCCCTGGTCATGTTTTGTCCCTTTTACAGTCTCCCAAAGATGATGATCGTGTGTACACGTGTGTATATGGGCATTTGTACATATACACACACATTATTTTTCTTCCCATTTGAATAGCAATGCATCATACACATTAGTTAGCATCTTGCCTTTTGGGCTTAATAATGTTTCTGGGAATATTCTATAATTTCAGGAAAGAAAAACACTACATGAGCATGAACTGGAGGTACACACACACTAACTTTCTAACTAACACTTACTTTCTTTGCATTCCTTCCTCTTCTCGATGAAGATTTAACTGGTTAGACAACTCTTCTAGTTTTCCTATAATGAGACGAACTGTCAGTACGTCATGGGGGGGAACTATCTCTGCACTCTGACCAGTGCGCTATGGGGGGCCCTGTCACTGCAGTCTGATCAGTACCCTGTGGGGAGCCCTGTCACTGCAGTCTGATCAGTGCACTGTGGGGGGCCCTGTCACTGCAGTCTGATCAGTGCGCTGTGGGGGGCCCTCTCACTGCAGTCTGATCAGTGCGCTGTGGGGGGCCCTGTCACTGCAGTCTGATCAGTGCACTGTGGGGGGCCCTGTCACTGCAGTCTGATCAGTGCGCTGTGGGGGCCCTATCTCTGCAATCTGATTTGTTTTCAGTTATCAGAGGTCCTAAACTTTATCTAGCCAGAGATTAGATTTTATTCGGTGTGAACAATGCTTAAAAATATCTTTTTTTTTTTTTTCTTCAGTTTTTGGCCAGGGCTATGTTTGAACCTGCCACCTCCAGCATATGGGGCCAGCGCCCTACTCCTTTAAACCACAGGCGCTGCCCGCTTAAAAATATCTTAAACCATTATTCTAAAATTATGATAATTCACATGTAAATTTGGATTTTTGAATTTTCTTTAAAGTAAGGAATAGCCAGCTATACGGGGGCCCACCTTCCCATTTGGCAACAGTCAACTGGAGACAGGTGTCCCCTTTAAATGCCCCATGCACCTTATGTACCCTTCAACTACCCTGCTTCACACGCTTATGTGACCTGCCTAGCCCTGGACAGAATCACTCTGGTGGCTTTTCTAGGTCACTTTCTGGATGGAGCAAACTTTTCTAAAGCAGGTCCATGAGGGTCTCTGTTACCTTTCATTCTCTCAGTTTGTTCATTCAGGCGAATTTCCAGATCTTGCTTCTGCTTCTCCAGCTCTGATATTTGCTGTTTAAAGTCTGGGATCATCTTTAGAGAAGAATTAGAAAGAGTAGAAAATACTTTCATCCATGAACTTTAAAATCTTAGAAGCAAGCTAGAGAAGGTATTCTTCCCAAGAAATATAGTTATGTAAGAGGATTAGCTAAGACGTTGGACTGGATTGGTGTTTTTGGGTTTTTTTTTTAACATCAAGACCTATAAAGTCTCAAGAAATATTATAGTTTTCAATACATTACATGAGATCGTCAATACGTTATTATCAAATAGGCTTTGTGTTAGATGATTTTGCCCAATTATAGGCTGATGTAAGTGTTCTGAGCATGTTTAAGGTGACCTAGGCCAAGCTATGATGCTCAGGAGGTTAGGCATAATTTCATTCTCACTTTATGAGATCTTTAACTTATGATGGATTTATTGGGACACAACTCCCTTGTAAGTTGAGGAACATCTGTATTTGTTTGACTGTGCAATCAGGTCTCACTACAAATTCCTCGTTAAAGTTTCACCCAGAGAACAAACAAAGATGGCAGCACCCGTAGCTCAGAGGCAAGGGCACCGGCCACACACACCAAGGCTGGCGGGTTCCAACCTGGCCCAGGCCAACTAAAGCAACAATGACAACTGCAATACAAATAAAATAATCAGGCATTGTAGTGGGTGCCTGTAGTCCCAGCTACTTGGGAGGCCAAGGCACGATAATCACTTAAGCTCAAGAGTTTGAGGTTGCTGTGAGCTATGATGCCACAGCACTCTACCCAGGGTAACACAGTGAGACTCTGTCTCAAAAAACCCAAACAAACAAACAAACAAAAAAACAGAGTGGTGCCTGTGACTCATGTGCCTCAGTGGGTAGGGTGCCAGACCCAGATACCAAGGGTGGCAGGTTCGAACCTGGCCCCGGCCAAACTGCAACAAAAAATAGCTGGGCGTTGTGGCAGGTGCCTGTAGTCCCAGCTACTTGGGAGGCTGAGGCAAGAGAATTGCCTAAGCCCAGGAGTTGGAGGTTGCTGTGAGCTGTAACGCAACAGCACTCTACTGAGGGCAATAAAGTGAGACTCTGTCTCTAAAAAAAAAAAGAATAAGCAAAGATGTAAGGTCCTCGGCTACTGTTGCATGTGTCCACCAGAGGTCTCCCAAGATTTCTTGATGCTTCCAGTTTAAGTAGAGAAGGAGGCAGCAGAGGTGCTAAGGAGCAACCAGAGATGGGATGAGAAACCTAGAAAACGGGATCCCAGAAGCCAGGAGAATGAGGAGGGGCAGGGAGAGGCTGGCATCCTCAGAGGCTGCTGAGACACGGAGGGGCCCTCTGAGCCCGACTCCACACAGGCAGACCCAGCCAGGGTAGGGCCCATGGCGATGTGTGGCTGGAGGAGGGGAAGGCAGGGGAGGGCAGGAAACAACGCAGATGGCCTTTCATAAATCTGGCCAGCTCCCTGAAGAAATGGGGGGTGGCCACCAGGGTACGGGTAAAGGAAAGGGTGGTTTTGGAGAGGGGAGATCCCTAAGCATGTCTCCTTGCCAGCAGGCATGAGTGGGAAGAAAGGATGAAACAAACGCAGGGGGCGAGAATGGGCAGCGCAGAAGAACAAGTCCCTAAAAGGCAAGCTTTGGAGCACAAGTAGGACTGACCTTCTGAGCCACCTGTCTCAAGAGCCACCTTTTAAACTTAATTTTTTGATCACTTTCCCAGGCATCAGGGCTAGATCTAAATATACAGACACACACAGAGCCACAGAATCTAGACCCATCCTACGGTAAACAAATGCACTCTCAAATCCAAGTGCTCTCCAGCCTGGGGTCAGTTTACAGTTCTATCTTCTGATACAACTATTTTATTCCTGGAAAAAGTAATTTGTATCCATGGCTTTACTGTCGAGAAACTGAATTTTACTCCACTGAGAAAGAATGTTTCTAGAATAATGGCCATCCCTGGGGCCCGTGGCTGGGACCATACCATGTTCTCTGAGGTCAGCCTGGTGACTTCGTGACGGATATTTTCATTGATGTCATTCTCTTCTCTAAATAGTTTCTGCAGGTGGTTGATTTCTTGACTCAGATGCACCACTTTGAAGTTCAGAGCTTCAATCTCCTTTTCATAGCAATCCTTCTGAGACTGGAAATGGCTCTCTAAAACCCTGGTACAGGAGGGGTCCAGAATTGAATGACATGGGCTTTACTCAGCTGTGCTGATGACGGGGAGGATGACTATGTGTGTGGCTGGGAAGACCCACAACTAGGGCCACAGGGGGAGTACATAAAGGCTACTTATGCACACACACAGTTACAGGCTAGAGAATTGCCATTACATAATTATAAAACCCTTCTTGCTACTTAGGCTGCATTATGTAGGGCTAACAAGCAATTAATAACAAAGAAATTTTATTTTAGAAGTATTAAAATTACATTTTTATTCTCTTAATAGTTTAAAAATACGTCCTCTATGATACTACCATTATGGATACATGTTCTTATACATTTGTCACAATCCACAGACTATACACCAGGAATGAACCCTCACGTAAACCTTGGGCTTTTTTTTTTTTTTTT